TGGTTCGGACTACTGTAGCTACAGTAGAAACAGAATCAATAGGGATAAAAGAAGTATGGGAAGCAGAACCCTGGTTACCTAAAGCTGCAAAGGAAGTTGAGGGAGCACTGTTATTTCCCTCTAAGTTACATAGAGACCAACTGAACTTCTCCAACTGATCACATGTAGAACTCAGTAGATTCTTCTGGGGTAGAGTTCTGAGTAGGTGCAGTAGGAGCTGTAGGAGACTGCTCATCATGCACGTGTACCAACTGATCACATATGCTCCTCAGTGTGCCATCATATACCATAGTGATTGCATCACAATTTGTCCTTGTCAACCTCATCCATCTTAGATGGTTCACCCTTCTTCACAACCTCCTTACAACTAAGGCCACCTACTCCCCCTCAGACAAATTCATCACCTACCTTTTGCTCTCTTCAGATTGGATGAGAGCATAAGATTCCTATAAACTTGGAAAATCCTTGCTTCAAAAGATTTGAACTCTAATAGGTTCATACACTGAATGCGAACCAGCAAGAAAGGCGAAAGCACACTGCTGAGACACTAGCTTTCTATAGTCCTCAGCATCTTCTTCATTCTTCCAATCAATAGTCTGATAGTAGTGCAACTCTTTCCATATGGATGTGAGAGTAGAATAATAGGTACATATAGACTTCTCACCTTGTTTACATGCAGCCAACTCAACCTGTAACTGAAAGATTCTTGCATATTCAGAATATGTGGCCTTAGCTTGATCAACAAGCAAGACATCACCGTACAGTTTTTTAGTTTCATTTGTCATGTTCAGGGCCCTTCTCCATAGATCCAATTATACTTCCATTCAAGTACCCAGTCTTGCCTGTTGTCAAGGTAACAAAGCGCCCTTGGAGCATGGTTTTCAAGGCGCCAAGGTGAGGCTAGGCGACAGGGGGGGCGCATTGTCACCTAGTCACCTAGGCAGGAACCTATGCAATGGATTTTTTTCAATAAAAACATGTATCCTAGGGTAGTTCCCTAGGTTCCATAATCATATTTCCTTAATAAATATCCATAATTTTCATAAGAAAAGTATAAATTTCATGTTAAAGTATAGAAAATCAACATATTCCAACATATTCATGAGAAGAAAAAGAAGAAAAGAAATTTCAAAAAATATAGGGGCTGAACCCCTATTTCTGTTATAGGAGAAGAAGAAAAGAAAAGGTGGAAGAAGAAGAAGAAGAAAATGTGTTGATTGGACAACATTTTATGTTCTTCCTTACTTATTGGTTCAGGTTTTGAAGTCTTTGAGGGTTCAATACAGCATTTAGAAATGTTTGTGTTGATTAAACCCTAACAAATAAGAAAATAATAAAAAGAAATTAGTATATAAACACACAAAATAAACATTTTAGTTTAAAAATGTCTATTTTATAATTATAAGCTCAAAAAATTAAGAATACAAAAGTTTTTTATAACACGCTAAATGCCGTATTATTTTCTTATTTGTGAGGGTTTAATCAACACAAACAGTGCTAAATGCTGTATTGACCCCTCAAAGTCTTCAAAACCTGTACCAACAAGTAAGGAAGAACTTCTTCATACTAGTCTGAGCTATAAAGAGTTATCACCATTGTGTATGTATACTCTATGATTAAGCATCTAATGACAACATGAGAACATTGAGTTGGATGCACTATATAGGGACTCATGTGGATGCCTTTATTCTAATTTATTAAAAGAAAAAATAACATACTTGTAATCAAACCATCTTTTCAATGTAGATAATGAACTGGGATCCAACCATGATTGGATTGGTCAGATCCCCTTTATTCATGAAATCATTATAATATATACATAGTCAATATCAATTACCAAGGCGCAAATAAAAAAAGTTAAAGAACAGAAATTTATACAAGAAGTTTAATGCATAGAACATTTTTTCCTCATGTCTTATACCCAGGTTTGAAGCACAGAATTATGTTCTATTGACAATTAATGCCAAATTTTGGAAAAATTTTATCATGAACGCAATTTAATTTTATTATTTGTTCAATTGGTTTAAGGTTCACTGTTGGGTTTTAATTAGAAGCACGGTTTTTGTAAAAATAATTATTTAAGGACAGTCAAACCAATTTTCATTTTAAATCTTTTTAATCTGAGTAGGAATCTGCTGAATTAAAAAAAAAAATGTAAAAGAAAGTAGTTTCTTGAAGAGAGAAGGAAGAGAGAAGGAGAAGAAGAGAAGAAGAGAAGTTGAAAAGAAAAGAGAGCAATCATCTGGCCGCCCCCTTCACTTATTATTTATACTAAAATAATAGAACTGTACAAAGACAACTATGCCCTTATACGGCGGCAAAACATAAAACAGCATATATAACACTCAAAAACATAAAAACATTTGGACTCACATAACTACTGTAGTCCCCACCTCCTATCTAACAACTAACATAAAACATCTAATCAGAAAAACATCATAAAACTAATTAATCTTCAACAATCTGATTGAACCAATCTGACCATTGGTCTGGTCTGGTTTTGGAAACACTTGTCTATCCATGAATCAGTGTGGAGTCTGTGGAGAGAAGGTAGTTTTATCTATCATGTGCATCCATGTAATTTAGATATATAATCTGTATGGATATCATAGTATTGCCGTTTTATGTATTTCTAGCCAGAGTATAGACATGATGAGATGAATATCAACTATTGTCTTCTAATTTTGTTTCCATGGGTCCTGTCATGCCTGTAAGGCTCTGAACTTTGGATTTTTTTTTTTTTGTTTTTGCTAGCACTGGTCAATTGGTATTAATTTCATCATACTTTTTTCCTTCGTTTTTCATGCTCAATAAACATTGCAGATATTTAAAGGAAAAGAAGTTGAAGATATTTTTCATAACCACAGAAGCTTATATACATGCCTTAAATTTATACTGAAAATTTATGCAGGGAAAACTCTATGATGGGAGGAACGTGGCTGTGAAACAACTCTCAGTAGTATCCCCCCAGGGAAAGGATCAATTTGTAACAGAGATTGCTACGATATCTGTTGTTCAACATCGCAACCTTGTGAAACTATATGGATGCTGTATTGAGGGTGATAAACGAGCTCTTGTTTATGAGTATCTTGAAAACAAGAGCCTTGATAAGGCACTCTTTGGTATGAACATATCTCAGTTCTCTATGTTTTACCCCAAAGCAGGATACGAAAAGATAATTAATCTATATTAAATTGGAGCAAATTTGCAGGGAAGACTCATCTATATCTTGATTGGCCAACACGCTATGAAATCTGCTTGAGGACAGCAAGAGGCCTAGCTTATCTTCATGAGGAATCCAATCCAAGGATTATACATAGAGATGTGAAGGCTAGTAACATTCTGCTTGATGCCGATTTGAACCCCAAAATTTCAGATTTTGGTTTGGCCAAGTTGTATGATGAAAAGAATACCCACATTAGCACCCGAGTTGCAGGAACAATGTGATCACCCATAACCAGACATATATTTACTTATATCAAATCATAATAAGTTGTGTATTACTTCTCTTTTCTAATTGAAATTAGTAACTCCAATTCTTAGTTTTATGTATTTGTAGTGGATATCTTGCACCAGAATATGCTATGCGTGGACACCTAACAGAAAAGGCTGATGTCTTTGGATTTGGAATTGTTGCTCTTGAGGTTCTCAGTGGAAGGCCAAATGCAGACTGCTCAAATTTGGTTACAGAGAAAAAGTATCTTCTTGAATGGGTATGAAAAGAAACAATCTACGTAAGTTTTCTATTATAGTGGTACTATTTATAAAATTCCTTCTTGACACCATCATTTCTTAATTCCTTAGGCATGGAATCTACATGAACATCACCGTGAACTGGAATTGATGGATCAAACACTTGAAGAGTTTGATGAAAGTGAAGCCTGTCGACTCATAAGAGTGGCTCTCCTCTGCACTCAAGCATCACCAACACTACGACCTTCCATGTCACGTGTTGTGGCCATGCTATCCGGAGACATCGAAGTGGGTGAAGTCACATACAGGCCTGGTTATTTAACAGATTGGCAATTAAATGATATTATCAGCTCTCAAGCTAGCAGCAGTACTTTTTCAACGTTGATGCCAAGCTCAACGTCATCAAATCCTAATCTAACCATGAAAGGTAATTCCAGTCCCCCCACAAGTGTTACTCAACCAATGCTCCATGACAGTCAGAGAGAGTATGTTGTTTTGACATAAAAAAAAAAAAAGAAAAGAAATGATAGTGTTAATTTCATATTACCCAGACCAAATTGACAGGAATCCATATTACCCAAACCAAATTGCTCTGTTTAGTCGATTTGATCATTTTGTGACAGAGGCTTAGTTTGTTTATAGTGTTAATTTCATTTGTATTGGTGTACATGCATGGGAGTGCAAATAGGTTAAGTGTAAATTCTGCTTTACTTTTGCTTCAGATTTCATTTTGTCATGTTTATTTGTGAGAACTGAAAAGTAAAATATGAAGTAAAATTATGTGATCCCCTCTTATATGAGAAAGAATCGAGGCAGGAAGAAGGCGGTGCTAATTTTGCATTAGTTTTTTTATACAAATTTTTGCACTACCAGTGAATTAAAAATTTAAAATGAGACAAAAAGTGCAAATTTTGTATCAGGAAAAATTGCAAATTATATTTACAAGCAAATGGAAGCAAAACTGAACCAGGTGTAAAATTTGTTTCCAGTTAAAATTTGCACCGAAAACAAACAGAGCCTAAGAGAAAACTTAAAAACAATTCGAAGTGAAAGCTTACCAATCCTCTTGATGACTTGATATGGTAAAAAAATTTGGTAGAGTTTCCTATCGTATGGTTAGGAGGAAAAGACAAAATCTTTTTCATTTTTCAGGTTTATTGGTGAATGCCTGATTGGACTATACAACAATGGCTCCCATACCAATAAACCCCCCTCCCCCGCTGTGGCAGTGGGATTTGATCTCAAATCTCTGCCTTTTGATCAATGAATAAATAAAAGATGCTCCAGAACAGCACATAAACTATCAATTACCCTCAAACCTACGAGAGCATAAATCTTTCCAAATCAACCACTTCCAATCACCGCTAGTTGATTGGGCATTATGTTTTCAAGGGGAGAACCAGCGGCAACAAGATACGCACTCTGGGCATCCGTTTACGTATGGTGCAATCTGGGGTGATCATTTCAAGCTGGCCCTGCCTTGATCGCATAAGCCTGGCCCAGAAATATCAGGCTTGGGCTTAGGTTTTGTGTGACTAGGTTTAATATTTGAGACCCAAAACCTAGGCCAGCCCAAGCCCCGGCTAGGCTATAGCCATTATCATAGGTGCGCCCGGACCAGGCCCAGTCCATGATCACCCCTAGTGCAATCGTACTTTGGAGTATTTGGTGTAGGAAAAATTACTTGGTTTTTAATTAAAAGTTCACTCTAGCTGCATTTTGTCCAGAACAATAGAAAGGGTGATTTGAATTCAATTCGACATTCGTGAATATTTAAAACTAACAATTGAATGCGAATGACAAATGAATCGAATAATTTTATTTTATTGGAATTTGATATATTTGTATCTACAATAAGGCTGCGTTTGGAAATGATGCAAATGGAGTGTAAATCACAGTTCAGCATAAATTTATGCTCTGGTTCACTTTTGCCTGTGTTTGACAATAATGCAACATTACATTTATGTATTGATAAATGACAGACTAATGCATATTTACATTGATAATAAGATATAAAAGTACATCAATAAAAAAGAAGTAAATTTGCATTCAAGTGGGCTTTTGATAAAGAAAAAGCATATGTTTTATTGAAAGTCATGTTTGCATCCATTGCAGATAAAAGTCTGTTTGGTAAGAACGTAAATTTGTCGGTACAAAACTAACCCAACTTTGCAATTTATATAAACCGTTTTACACTCTACATATTTGCATTCACACTTATTTGCATCGTTTCCAAAGGCAGCCTAAGGTTGCGTTTGGAAACGATGCAAATAGAGTGTAAATTCCGGTTCAAGGTAAATTTGCACCTGGTTCACTTTTGTCTGTGTTTGGCAAAATTACATTTTTGCATTGACAAATGACAGACCAGTCCAATGTGAGTCAACTGAACCAGATTTGGTCCAACCCGATCCAGTCCAATGTGAGTCCACTTACAAATGGACTAGACCTATTCCAGTTCAAATCCAATATAAACCAAATCTAATCCAATCCATTAAAATGTAAATGGATTGAATTGGATCCAATCCARCCTGAATGAAATATAAAAGATTATACAAAAAAACAGAACATACAAAAAATTACAAAAATATATTAAAATGAAGAAAATCTGAAAATTACAAAAATATACCTTTTTGGCATTGAAAAAACACTTTTGTAAAAGGGAAAGTATTTTCATAGAAATGTTTTTGTAAAAGTACTTTTGTAGAAGTGCTTATATAAAWGTACTTTCGTAGAAGTACTCTTAAAAGGTACTTTTGTAAAAGTTATTTCATAAAAGTACTTCCATTAAAATGCATTTGTAAGTGATTTCATACAAGTGCTTTCATGTAAAAGTACTTTGTAAAAGTGTCTTTATTGAAGTGCTTTCGTAAAAGTGCTTTTATAAAACTACTTCTTTAAACGTACTTTTGAAAAAGTGTTTTAGTAAAAGTAATTTTCGTAAAATTACTTTTATAAAAGTGTTTTCTTAAAAGTGATTTTATGCCACCTTTAGTTTTGTTCAGTTTCAAATTAGACAAGGGTTTAACCTCATGATTGGATTATTGGAAATTTGGTTTAGATCCGATTCAAACCAATAATTATAATGGACCGTCCAAATCCGATTTAACAAGATTTGGATCGGATTAGATCCAATCCAAAACGGATCAATCTAGACCCCATTCTCTAAGCAACAATAGGATCTAGGAAGTAATGAGTACTTTCTGAATCAATTAATATATTTATAATATTCTACTGAAAAAAGAAAGTTACAAGACTCGAACCCGCGTCCAAAACTGAAATATAACTTAAACATTAGTACTTGAAAGCCATTATGACACTCCATCTTTTGTGTTTATATGTAAATGATTACAGAACTTATTTCTTTTTGACCTAAATGCAATTCAAATAAATAATATATATTATGATTAAATCCAACTAAAAATTAAAAATGTAATACTTAAAATCAGTATTTTATAAAGTAATAAAAAGAAATAAAATATCAAATCCACATTTATATCAAAATATTATTTGAATATAAAAATATAATATTAATAAGAAAATAATTATTTTAGTACTTAAAATTTATAAATTTGCACATGATATATACATATATTAATTTACATTACATAAAACCATATTTATTATTTAGAAAATAAAAACATTGTTTACAAAATATTCAAGAATATAATCTTAAATTGAATCTATTGAATCTACTAATCTACATTTATACCAAAAAAATATTTTTAATTAGAAAATTATAGGAATAAAAATATAATAATGGAATAGATTTGATATATGATATGGATAGATTTGCATATGATATGTATCTTAGAAATTTTAATATATTTGATATATTTTAAGTTAATATTATAAATTATTAATGGATATTTTAATTTACATAGATAATTTAATATTTAGTTGACCTCTTTGTTAATGTAAAAAAGTAAAAATAGTAAAATAAAAATAATTAAAATATAATAGAAAATATGTTTTGCATTCTGGACTCTTGATTGATACATTATCAAAAAAATTGTATGATATTTATGCATCATATTATATTAATTGTAATATATTAATTGTAATATTTTTTTCATATACACCATTAAAATATACATTTTCTATGTATTTATATATTATTTATGGTTATTTGGCCTTAAATTTAATATTGTTAATGTATTATGAAACTTTTATGTGTTTCCCTAGCGTATCCATATTTTTCATCTGTATCCATGCGTTTCCAAAGCGTATTTGTATCCGTATTCAAGCTATCTGATACGATACTCGATACCGATACTTTAATCCTTGCCTCCAACTTGTAAATTTGTCCCTTTTTGCATCTATGACCAGGAACAAAATTTTCATCACACCCAAAACACAACCCTTCAGCCCTCTTTTCACCATGGTTGTCAAAACTGGACTGGACGGTTGGATCAGAAAAATCGGGAACTAGTTAGGCGATTGGTTCTATTTTACTCCAAAATCGGAATTTTGTCAAAAAAATGTTGATTTGGTCAGTAAACCACTGACCTGGGCGATTGAACCATTCGAACCATTCAATGGTTTTGACCTTTTTTTTTTGTCAAAACGAGCCATCCGTTCGGTTCGAACAGTCAGACCATTTGACCCAGGAACAAGACCCCTACCAGTTTAGTTTTAAAAACCTTGCTTTTCAGCCATTTTACGTTTTGTCGTGGATTTATCAAAAGACCTTGGTTTCTTAACATTGGTGTTAATGGTAGATGTTTTGCTTGTGGGCTGAATCAAAGAAGAGTTTGGTGGTAATTTTGCAGTGGGAAGTAAGGGTGAATTAAATGGTCTAGTTCATTTGGTTAATGTGTTTAAGGTGGCTTCTTGGAGTTTGTCCAAGCATAGAGCATGTTCAAGGGTTTGGGGAGTGAACATTCGGGTTGGCATTTGAATCTCATCCTTCAATCCACTCAAAAAACAAATTGAGAGCATATTCTTCAGATAGCTCAATTCGAATTAATAAAGATTTAAATTGGTCTTGGTAATCTTGAATATTAGAATTTTGCTTTAGATTTTTCAATTCTACCATTGGGTCATCAAATAACTTTTCCCCAAATCTAGCATTCAATGCCTCTACATAATTTCACCAATCCGGTAATCCCTTCCTAAGCTTCACTAGCATCTAATGCCACTAAAGAGCCTTAGGTGGTGTTTGGTAGTGTGTATATATTGTGGACGGGACCATTTTAGTCTTGTTAACAATAAGATATGGTGTTCTGTTATGTGTGGATGGTCTTCATCCACAAAATAGCATGGATAGGAATGGGGCACACCCCAATTTATTGTCCATAGTATTTTCTTGTGGATGGTCCACACTATCGTGTAGACATTTGGTCCAATTACTCTCATTTTATTTAATCTTTTAGTAATTTTTAATATTTTATCAATAAAATAATAATTTTTAATGTTAATTCTAACACAAGTCTGACAATTCTCCTTCTCAACTATTTTTTAATTATTTAAATATTAATTTTTAATATTTTATTAATAAAATTATATTTAAATTATTAATTTTTAGTTTTAAATATATAAAATAATATTTTTTAATTATTTAAAAAATGCAATTATTGTCTACATATTGATGCCTTTTTTCAATTTATTTACCATATAAAATGCAAAAATTAGATATTTATGATCAACTGTGTAGATCTCTCATAAAATGTATATGAGATACATGGAATCAAAAAGTATGGTGTGGACCAGT